TGAAAAGAAATAGACTTAAACTATCGTTAAAGGATTTAGGAAAAAATCTTTCAAATAAACACTAGGAATTTTATTTTGAGAGCTGTTTTGTAGAACAATAAAACTTTTTCACTGAAAAACTAGGAAGACCTTGACTTTTTACAAAGAGAAAATTAATATGATGGTTTAGAGGATATGATTGTCTTTCAGAGATTAGTAATATGACTCATAGATCATGCCTGTTTTTGTAAATAAAATTTTATTGGAAACATATCAGTGCTCGTTCAATAACCTATTTGTTAAGACTACTTTTGCACAAGTATATAGAACTGAGCAGTTTCAAGAAAAACCATAAAGTCTAAAATATTTACTATTTGGCCTTTTATAGAAAATAGCTCCTGATCCTGGTATAGAGTCAATTATTAAATTCTCTTGCTACTTCATGCATTTTAACCCTACATATTGATAGTTCTACAGATAATTATGTTCTCATATGTTATGAAATAATATACTGCTCAATATGGCTTATAAAAATAGAAAATAAAACATGAAAGTAATATAAATTTAAAAGAATTTGAATATAAATTTTTACATAATAATTTATATGAACTTTTATAGTATAAATTTTCATATTCTACATTTACATGTATTAAGTAATACACTTATAGAAAATATCAAAGATTACAAAAGACCTACTTTAGATTAATTTTATATATGTGTGTGTGTGTACACACACACACACACACACACATTGCTTTTTCTTTCATCATCAAATAATTACAAAAGAAGTTGAACTCTGACTTCCAAAGTCCCTTGTAATTCCCTAAAATTCTACTATTTATAAGTATCATTAAGAAACAAGGCTCTGTACTAGATAGTCATTATACAAAATTTTATAAGGGACTGTCTAATTCCTGCAAAGTTTTACATTAAAATGCAAATTTAAAAAAATAATAATACAGGGCAGGCATGCTGAGCAGCATGTTAACTTGCAACAAAAACGCAGTCAATACCACAAGCTGAGATGGTCTGTATAAGTTTCTCAGCTCAGATAGAATTTGATATCAACTGTAAATACCTGGGAGACTTCCACCACGAAAACAAAGGATAAAGAAGATTCAGGAAAGGAGAATAGTATAGTAGCAAAAATATATAAATTACTTATTAGGAATAAGCAAAGTGAGATACATTGGTATTGCTTCGGAATTTCCTTTAAAAAAATTAAAACTCACTTATAATTTCAAGCAATACATGTATAATGAAAGCAACTGATACCCAGATAAAATAAAATCAGTCCAGAACCATAAGGCTAGTAAATGAAGAAGGATGATTAAAGTCCCACAAGCAATGTATAAGTGGATCTCTTTCCCCATATCATCATCAACATTTATTATTATCAACATTTTATTAATATCAACATTTATTATTATTTGTATTCTTGATAATTATCATTCTGACTGGAGTCAAATCTCAATTTCCCTAATTGCTAGAGATGTTGAACATTTTTTCATATATTTATTGATCATTTGCATTTCTTCTTCTGAGAAGTATCTGTTTAGTTCTCTTGCCCGTTTATTGATTGAGTTATTGGGGGGGGTGTTAAGTGTTTAGAGTTCCTTATGTATTATGAGAAGCAGGAGGCAAAGATCTCCAATTCCACAGGAGCTTCTCTTAGTGCTCTTATTTCCTTCACTGTGCAGAAAATTTTAAATATGATGCCATTCCACTTATTGATTTTTTATTTTATTTCTGTTTTAGGAGTGTTATTGAGGAAGTCAGTTCCTGTGCTGACATGTTGGAGAGTTGGTCCTACATTTTCTTCTATCAATTACAGGGGTTCTGGTCTAATTCCTATGTCTTTGATTCACTTTTGTGTAGGGTAGGAGATAGGGGTTAAATTTCATTCTTCTATATATGGATTTCCAGTTTTCCCAGCACCATCTTTTCTCCAATGTATGTTTTTGCAACTTTGTCTAGTATCAGATAACTGTATCTATGTGGGCTTGCCCCTGTGACTTCTCTTCTTTTCCATTAGTTTTCATGTCTGTTTGGTGCCAGTATCATGTCATTTTTATTATCATAGCTCTATAGTATAATTTGAGATCCATTATTGAGATGTCTCCTGCTTTGCTTTCTTGTTAAGGTCAATACTGAATTTCTTAAAAAATATTGGCAAAATATATCAAAATGTAGGATTCAAATTGCTTACTTATATAAGGTCATCTTAGATAATTTCTTACAACAGGGATCTCTTTTCAAAAGTCACATTTATTCTAATGTTTTTACAATACTGTACTTCATCTCTGTTACAGGGGGATATTTCTTACAATCAATAAAATAAAAGCATGCTTTATATCATATTTTAATACATGATTTTTTTTCTTTTTTAAGGGACTCTTTCATTTTAATTTTTATTCTTTTTTTAATTTTTAATTTTTATTCTTAATTTTGTTTTTTACTTATTTGTTAATTTTTAAAAATTTTTATCCTTATTTTTTAAAATCTTATTTTTTACAGATTTATTTCTTAATGGCATATAAAATAAAGAGTAGTGATTCAATTGAATATAGTAGTAATGAACTTTCACACTTAAGAACCCACTGGAACTACTCAGATGAAATACTGGGATTCTAGTGTGTAGAGCCTAAGACCAGCTGGGTCAACATGGCACATGGTTCAAATGGGATGACTAGGCAGAGTAATGTACTTGAAAATGTTAGGGAACAGACAGCTGAGATGAGATGGTGCGAACACAAGGTTAAGAGAATAATTCTATTAAATGAGTCTACCATGCTGACCCCACATGCCTTCTTTTCCAAGAAGCAATTTACCTGCAACCCTGCCTGGCCTAAGTGGACAGAATATGTCCACTTAGCAAACTTGTTAACTGCAAAGAGAAATGCAGGCTCAAGATAATGTTGATGGGAGAAACCCAGGAAACTTTTGTGACCAGATCCTGAAACTCTGAGAGATAAGGATAGTTCCTCCTAACCATAAAATCTGTAAGAATGTATGGTTTAGAATACAATTAGAACCAGTAAGCATGGGCCAAGGTGACCTAGAGTTACCATGACAATGGGTACTTGAAAGTCTGATATCATCCTACTGTCAGTCAGATGTCAAGAGGTGGACCTAGGCAAGACTCTCTGGAAACTTCTCTGGGATTCCCAGTAAAACTGGAGTCCAGGAGAGGCATGTTGTCCCTCTCCTCTCTGAGAAGACCCACACTTTCCCTTGAGAGTGACTCTTTCCCTTTTCCTAACCCTTCAATAAACTCATTCCTATTACTCTGAACAACATGTCTGAAATCTTTCTCATTTGATTGCAAGAATCAGGGTTTGAAGAGGGATCTTTGTGCTGCCTCAGATGTCTCTCTGAAGGCTCCAACTTGTTAATAGTACCATTCACTTGGTAACTGTTTACTCCCTTCTCTGAAAACTCTTATTCCCCATTCATTTATTATTCATATTAATATATTTCTTGCCAACAGCTCTGTCTAAAACTGTCATTTTTCTGTTACTTATTCATCACATTATGTTGGTCATTAAGCTCAGTGATCATACATAAGAAATATCTCATTAAGGCCCTTCCTTCCTTTTCTGGTTAGATTTTTATCATCCTGTGTGAGATCATTATTGCTCAGCTGACTATTATAATTTTTAACTAATTATCTTAATATTTCCAGTATCTCTTTCCTAAAAAACCATGTACTTTACAATAATACTTGGAATAGCCTTTAAAAAGAAATCTGTTCATTCCCCTTAAACACACACACACACACACACACACACACACACACACACACACACACAACTTGTTTGGGAAGTCCCCACTATATACAGTTGAAATATAAATTTCTGAAATTAGTCACTAGGCTTTTTGCAGTCTGACCCTAATATAATGAGTTCAAAATCATTCTAGCCACATGGTACAATATAATTATTATTCATGTAGCACTTAGGCATTGTTTTCTAATATATTAGATGCTTATATAATGTATTAGTCCAGTTAAGAGATAGGAATTATAGCAGTTATTTGAACAAAATAATGTAGTTTATAACTAATCATATATTTGTAAACTGAGTAAGTTAAAAGGTAAAAAGAAAACTCAAGTCCCCACATAGCACCAATGTGTTCAGGCTACCCATATATTTGGGAAGCTTCTGTCCTTACAGCTAAGGGGAAAAGTAGAACAGGTGGAAAATTACTAACACTTGGAAGCTTGGAGGAGGGTCTCTGATGAACTGAAATTCAGACCTCAGGAAAGAGGGAGCTACTTGGGAGATGGCAGTGTGGGGTTCCTTCTGTGAGTGTTGGGAAAACTGCAAACTTTTTAAAAATGCTGGTGTGGGAATGAACCACTCTTGGAAGAAGCACTGCTGTGGAGTCAGTTTGTAAACAGAAGAGAAAGGTCCTTCCTCCTTCGAGAGTTTTATTGGGCCTTTAGAGTTCCTTTTGTTGACAGAATCTACCATGGGTCCAAGAGGCAAAGTACAAATGGGGCTTGAAGATCTGTAGCTCCAGCAAGACAAAGCTGGAATAAACAGGGGTAGGGGAAGGTAAGACATAACACTTATTAATTGGCACAGCCGTTCTCTTCAGCTACATATGATCTATACTCACCAGTCTCACAAACTGAACTTTCACAAAAAACAACTGTGTTTGTACTTAAGGATATGTTACTATAATTCATATAAATGAAGTTGTTCTCACCTTGTTCCCAAGTGAGAAGAGGCACAGCCGTAAAAGTCATTGCATTGATTTCGAGCTGTTATTTTCTCCTCAAATCAAGTCACAGGCTCTCCATATTCTGTTAGTAAAAGTCTAAATTGTAAAGTTAATCCCCAGCAAAATTTGTACAAATTAATATATGCTTGTGTATATACATCATGCATGACAAAGAAGAAAATATACTTAGCAACTAGAATCCCTAGTTCTCTAACTGGTCACAAGGCCATAGATTGATAATTATGATTTTCTTTTTTTAAATTAGCCTTTTCATATATTTTCTTTGTTCTCAGGTGGACAGAGTTCCTTCCCTAATGCAATGACCAAAAATATCCTCCCTGAAGAGTCTTAATTGTCAGTGAACCTGACTTTTTGGTTGCTCTACTTTCATATGAATTTTTGCTACTGGATTTGGAAGTGCTATGAGAAACTCTTAGAGAGAAATCCTAGGTTCCAGATATAGCCTGCCTTGCTCCCATCATGGGGCAACAAGCAATTTCTTTTGGTAACCAGATCAATCACAACAAACATCAAGTTAACAACTCCTTTGTCTGTTGGTTCAATGACATAAGGACCCCAAAAAACTAGGTGTCAATGTTACTGTGGAATTCAATAAAATCATTGTTTCATCTTGTGTTGGCCAGAGTTTCCTCTTGGGATTCGGATCTTTATACCAGAAGACTTTAAAGTTTCATGGAAACAAAAATTCTACAAGTAAGCTATAGGTTTTAATAGTGAGAGGATCCACTTTTGGGAATTTTTTTTATTCTGACTTTTAGAGACACAGATCATTTATTGGTTTCTGATATAGTACAACCTGTAAGACTGAATCCAATTAGTGGTACAATACGTAGATCATCTCACCTTTCCAACAAGCCAGTTGCTTTGGGATTTCAAATTACTTTCTACATCAGAAACAATATTATGTGTAATGCCAAGACAGAAAACAATTAGCCTATCGATGGTGGTGCTGGCAGGAAGATTAGGGGGCAGAGAATGTATATATATCAAAGCCTTACATATTTCAGTGAAGATAAATTCTTGCTTCCACCATGATGGCAGGGGTACAATGTGATTAACTGGTATTCTTTTGGGGGCTCAGTGTTGTTCATTACTACTGCCAGGTTAGACATTCAGCAACAATGAAAGCCACGCCAGTACTTGCTTCTAGCAAATTCTCTACTAACAGATACAACTTAGCCACAGAATTGGAGAACACACATTTTAGTGAGCTAATGAGAGTATAATGTTGAATAATTTTAGGTTTAAATTGTTCTTTAGACAATACTTGGGAGCAAGTACTTGAAACTTTGGGTTCAAAGTCTAGCCTTTCTGATAGAATCTGCATTTGGGGTTTATTTATTTAATTAGACTGTCTTCTCAGTTGGTGTTTCAATTCAACAGAAACAAGCATGCACAGATATAGATGTATGTATATGTATTCTTTCATTTATTTTATATTATACATATGTACAAAAATAGATATAAATATCTGGATATGTCTACTATTATAGCATATATCCAAATTCATAACAGATTTATAATTACAATGAATTATTTTGCTAAGAGTACAGACTAGTGTTGAATATGTGTGTAAACACAAACTAGCCCTAGACAAAGTAGGTACTGGAGTTTTAAGAAGAATTACATTTCAGAGCCTGTTTCTTGTCAAATGTGGGATTCTGAAATACTCCTAGGCACTATCAGGACTTGGTATCATCCCATTGAAATGGGACAAGCTTAAAGTCTGCAAACGTTCAACATTATGAATGAAAGTATTTGGTAGAAGGCAATAAGTAATAGAGCCCATAAAAATTACTTTGTGTTTGTATTAAAGTTAATAAGAGAATGAGAAAATGTAATGTTTCTTTCTATGCCCATGTAAGTTCTTGATTTTGAAAACCATTTAACAAATATATTTGATTGCTTACTTCTACTTTTATTGTTTTTAAACATCTTATCCATGAGCAAGTTTCAGAATTATAAATATACAAGGAGGCATTAAATGAGAAGTAATTCCTATTTCCACACTTTTATCTTATTCTTTTAAAAGAGGAAGACATCCAGAAACATTCTATGAATATATAAGTCTACCTATATTTATATATTGCTATTCCCCTACACTCGAAATATTTGAGGGAAATCTTATTACCATTTTAGAATGTTTCCCTATCATTGCAACTGTGTTATCAGAACATACTCCTTCTCAAAATTAAAAATATTTCTTGACAACATGATCCTTCCTAGCTTATAAGGTTCAAACCTAATTGTATTTATTAACAATGAACTGGAAAAAGATTTTTTTCCCATATAGTAGCAGCATGTTCAGGTTAGCCATGTATTAAAAATAATTTACTATTCTAACCATTTGTCCAATGGCTATGAAAAGCACTTTGTTCTATGAGTGGTTTTTCATATCATTAGTTTATTTTCTCATTATAGAACTATAATATCATTAGAAAGTAATGCCTAAGTTTCCTTCTTTACACAGATTTACTCAAATTTTAAAAAAAGTTTCTTACTAAATGTAATATTTAATGAATATATCAACTTTTTTGTACTTATTGAAGTGCTCCTTTTAAAAAAACCTTAAAATGTTTAGTATTGATCTGAGAAATACTAAAAGAATCTGCTTTTGTCAAATATTAAATCGGTATTTTTCCTTTCAAAGAATCCAGTGGTTTTGAGGTTTTTTTTTTTTTTATAGTTTAACAAAAGGGTTCTTATTACCCAACCAATAAACATAGACATTACAGTGTCTCCTTTTTCATGGTTAAGGAAACTATATAAGTAGCAGAGCCAAAATTTGAACCAAAAACTGTCTGGCTTCAGTATTTGTAAATTTCTCATCAAACTACAAAATGAGTTAAGATGAACTAAAGAGGCTGGGGAATATAACACAGGATTTTTATTACAAATGATAAATCGTGAGATTGAGAGTGGTGGGAATGTGGTAGCATAGCTGCAAAAAAGATAATAGAATCAGAGAAAACAAAGGAATCATTATGCTATAGAACATCCAGCAACGAAGGAAAATGTCCTGTGATTCTGTAATGCTGAATATGGTAGCTGCTAGCCATATGTGACTATTGAGCACTTGAAATATAGCCAGTACAATTAAGGAGCTGAATTTTTAGTTTTCTGTATTCTCGGCTAATTTGAACTTAAATTGCTGCATTTACTGGTGACTATTGAACCACATGGCTAAAGTCTAAAGACATGGATACAGTGAAAGAGCCAGGAAAAAAAGAAGAAAAGCATGATTGCTGAAAAGGGGAAGTTCTTACCAAGAAATAGCAGAGCAGAGGCTGCCCACAGGGACAGCATCTCCTGTGGTCAATGGTCTCATTAGCTGCTTCACCACACAGATCATACACAGATCATACTTCAATGCAGGACCAGAATCACAGTTGATATCCCAGAGTTCAGCACTAACCGGTGCTGAATGAAGAATGCATCTAACCTGGCCTGGAAACTGTCATCAGTAACATCAGACTCACATTGCAGTAATATGTAAGATTATAAAAGCTTCACCTCAGAAATGACAAATGCACTGTGACCACCATGGGCCCCCATTCATGGGCTCAAGGTTTACAAAATGTAACTATTTTATGTAAAATACCCAAATGGAATACAAACCTTTGAATTTCATAGTGGGAACCAATAGTTGGGCTCATTATGTGAATGGTCTTCTTGTAAGCATTACTAAAATTCTAAAATGATTGTCAAATGTTCCCCTTCTATACAATATCCCAAGCAGGGAGCATGGAATGCTGAAAAAAGAAGAGAAGAAATTGTATAACGCACCTGTGTGTGAGTTCCTGCTTCAAACACAGAAACAAAGAGTCCCGCTGAATTTCCTTTGAAAATGAGAGCTAAGGTTTAGCTTCAGAGCTGGGACTGGACAGCAAAGCTATTGGCTTCCATGTCTTTGTTCAGCCCAAGGTATAAGTGTATCTGCAATTGATTAACACAGCTAGCCTGAATGTTACATTGCACTTCAAGTTCTATAGAAGAAAACTTAAAATAGGATTCACTTTCAACCATCCTAACGTTTTGATTTTTGACGACATGTTTTACTTTTGTATTCCATTCTAAAGCTCTTATATCCCATTTCTAAAGTCTCTAGGAGGTTTTGAAGCTAATCTTTTTAGCTGCTAATTCTTACGTAGAAATGTTAACATACAGATGCCAAACATATATTTGATTTTAAGGAAATATACTTTTAAAATATATTTGCTTAACTGCCTGAAAAATAGCAAGCACTTATTAGACAAGGTGCCTTAACATATATATGTTAAACCTAACTCTCTTAACAACCCTCTTGGAAATCATTATCAATATGCCCATTTTACAAATGAGGAAACCATTTAACTTGTCAAGATAATCACTGCTGGTTTGCAGCTGAACTGGGATCTGCCTAATTTCAACGTTCTTGCTCTTTCTCCCCAGTTGCTCTACCAGGTAAATTCAGCAAAATACTGCATTTGTGAATTATAAATTTATGCCCGATGTTTTCCAAACTTCAGTTATTTACTTTCTACGTTCATGCTTTTTGTCATATTAGCACTTAAATAATTTTTGTTTGCATTAATTGGTTGAGCATATTTTTTGTAAAAGAAACTTTATTACTATGCAACTGAAAAATCACTATCACTATCACTTGTTATAAAGAGAAGATAATTATAAAAACAAAAGTATAATGTTACAAAATATAAATTACAATTAAAGTATAAAATAAATAAAAGATGCATAATATGAAATTTAATTAATTTTGAAATGTAGACCTGAAATTGAGAAGAATAAAATGATTTAAGATGAGTCAATAATGAAAGGATATTCAGCTTGATACCATTTAGTTTAGATGAAAATAAGATATTATACCAATATGGCAATTCTATTTCTTAAAATTTTCTGTTACTATCATTGAGAATTCACCCCACATGTATAGTCTAATATTATGATAGAGGTGGATACAGGGAAATCATTCCTAACTGAAATAGTGTGACTATTATTCAACAAACTAAAAATATTATGAATCTATTCTGAATGTGTCCAGTTTTTAAAATAAATGTAAAAATAAATTTTAAAATAGATGTAAAAATAAAACCTGGTTCTTAGTCACTCATGGACGTAGTCTTGTTAGAAAAAAATGAGTAGAAAGTTTGTTCATGCAGCATTTCTTAGTGCTTCTTAGTAGTGTTTAAAACATGTTTAGTGCATTCTTTGATAAGTTCATACCCAGGTTGCTTAGAATTAACTATGGGAATCTGACTCACCTTGAAAGTGATATATACTAATTCAGTTTTATAATTATTGCAATCACATTTTCCATGGCAATATTAATATAATCTCATCTTTTGAAATAATACTCATTTTTGTTGTCCATTAAGTAAGTAAATAAATATCAAGATGTTGTAATTTGCAAAGCAGATTTCATGTGTTCTCACATAAACTGTCCTCTAAAATATACTGAAGTTCCTCAGACAACATGAGTAGATGAGAGGACTTTCTAAGTAAAATTGGTCTAAAAAAAAAGTCAGATACATAATCCTACCATTAGCATGACTGATGAGTTTAACAACCTTATTAAGTGATCCAATACTTAATCTGGGGTTTTCAAGGAGAGAGAGT